AGTTGGGACGAAGGTACTGACAGTGTTAAAAATAATTTTTTAGAAATTGCGACAACGCAGATTTTGAAATTTTAATGACATATAAAGTGAAAACAGCCAAATGCAGGACAAATATCGACCTGTACAGCAGAGATTAGCAGAACAGCGGAATATTTTAAGGGATCGGCGTTCTGTTTCTTTGTCTTAGGTGATGTAAGCTCTGTTAACAGGCCGAAACGTTAATTTATCTCGGTTTATGATTAATAGGTGAGATAAAGGTTTCAGATTCAGAACCGATGCTAGTCATCATGACCAAATTATTTGTTTTTATTAAACAAAGGCACAACCTCAATTGGCTTCATAAAGTTTCTACACTGCTAGAATTTTTTTTCAAGGACGGTAAAGAGCGTAGTGATAAATCGAAGATTGAGGAGTATTTAAGAAAAAAACATAACAAAGAGACGTAGGTTATTTTGTGAGTGAAAGGTAAATGCTTCCTTTTTTTTTTCTTCTATTCGCTTGTTTAAAAGTGCTCGCGTAGAAAATCAACGGGATAAGAGGCCTTGACACTGATTTATAAAAACTTGATGACAATTTAATCCTTTCACGCAGGTAATGAATTATTAGTGAGTTGACAAACTGTTCAAAATAATTCGTATAACATTGCCTGTTATCAATCAACTGATCCATTTTCGGGACTTTCGAGAAACAGGTCTCTGGCCGTGGCCTCTTTGAATCCATATCCGTTTTTAGACCTGGTCTCTCAGAAATTGTCCGTCATTTCGTAGATTAGAATAGCAATAAAAAATATTTCTTGAATTCCACTATGAATTAGCAGATTTCTCGTTCTTTCTTGCTCATTTGGAATTGAAAATAAAAGATAAATTAGTTCATATACTCCAGTAGTTCTCTCAAAAACTATACCCGATTCCAGTGAGACCAAAATGGGCAGTCTACACCCGTTTTCAGATCAAAATGGTCCAAAACTTGGCCCTATCATTTGGGGTGGCACATAGGCTATATGGCTTATATAGGGGAGTACCCCCACCCCCCTAGGCAGCAATATCCTCGTGACATACCGTAGCCACGTTCATAGCGAATCGATCAGTTGTTGTTATTGACACAATTAACAGGCAAATTATAGCCGTTTGCCGTCAAAGCAGACCACACAATTTCAATTGACTCTCAGGCGACTGCGATTTTTCGGATTCACTTGGAAATAGAATCTCCTTTCGGTAAGAAACAACAGCGCATCTAGTGTGAGTATTTTAAATGCTTTTATTTAGTCAGTTTACAGGTTACTAAAGACTGTAGCAACGTTTAGCGTTAACTGGTCTTTTGCAAGTGTCGCTTCAAGGACTGGTATGCGGTTCTCATTGAAGTCTTCTTAGCTCTAGATAGGATTCTAGAAGCAAGTAAAGAGTAAAAATATTAGTGTTTGTTCTATTAAAACTCACTACCAAAGTAAAGTATTGTAAAGTATGTTAGTTAAGTTTAACGTTAAATTCCTATCATTAAGGCTTGCGCTTACAATCTATTCATATAATGAATAAAGGATGTACTCGATAGATTTAGAAGAGGCCTAAGGATGTATTTTAGGGTGTTTCCTAAAAGTCAGAGCTGACAAGCCGGAACGGAAGTTTTGAAAATGAAAAAGGTTTTTTTCGAAAGTTTTCGCTTAAACTCATCGCTGCCGTACCTACTGATCTAATCTGGAATTTTCTTTTCGACTGAGTTGATCTGGTCTGGGCACCAGTTGACATACTGAAATGGTACGTGCCCTTAGTGAACAACCAATAGGCTCTTTGTGCTGAAATCCTGAAACTTGTCACTTTGGTCACAGGCTTTGATGGCACTGATACCATTTAGCAACGGTTCGCTGAATGGCACGCCATCCAAGCATTCATTCAGATCACAAAGCTTTGACTGCGATCGGGCGAAGCCTTCCCAATTTGATACAAAACGTCTTTAAAGTCTTCTAGTCCAGGCTCTTTTGGTTACTAGACCCGTCCAAGGTTTTTTCAACTTTTGATATGGAACATTTAGGGAAAATCCACTAATGGCACCTAAAAAATTAGTAAACCTGCCAAGTGTGTGTATGTGTACCCCTTGCTTTAAGTTTGTCTCAAGTTTACATTACATTCACCTACAAAATGTCCTGTAACCTGAAGGTAAAAGAACTTATATTAAATAAAGGGTACTGTATCGAAAAAGGTCGGTGATTACTGAATGAATTCTTTAAGCCCTAAGAGTAAGCATTTTAGTTCTTTACAGTTACCATGGTTACATTACTGCTCAATCAAATATGAAGGTCACTTGTAAGAAATAAGAATAAGGGAATGATCAGCAGTTGAAGAATCTTGAATGCTGTAAAATAAACAAACTCTCTTTCTAGTTTCCTATGAAATGCTTGGAGGAGAAAAGAGTGAAGGGAAAATTCACGCTGATGATCACGTTTCATCGGCAAATTTACCAAATTCAGCATGAAAATGAGCTTAGTTTGTAAATTTAAGAAAGCGATTCCTATGTTTCAATTGCTTTTCGTCTGTGAAGAAAATATTGAAGTCCATGAAATTAAATTCGACAAGCCTCCCGCTTAAAATATGAGATATGGATTTTTTTTTTTTCTTTTCTTTCGCTTGAGCAAGATAAGGTTGTTAACACTTACCTTTGTGAGCCACCAAATATAGCCGACGTTGCGATTTGTCAGTCCAATTGTGGTGATATCCAACCAACGCGTACTGAACATGAAACCATAAGTCATTACAGTACGTATCTGAGGTGTTAGCTGCTGGTTGCACCACTTGTTGTTTGAGTCACAACCCCATTTACTGCGGATTCTGTTAAGAAATAATAAGCCATGTGGAAGAAAAATTTAGCAGATTAAGGTACCGGGGCTTTAATTTCGCGTTTTTCGGGATTGTAAAAAAAATCGCGAAATTAAGACACACCAATAAACCCTCGCGACATTTTAATTATACCAGCCAGGATAGCAAATAAAAAACAGAATTAACTTGAAATAGCAAGTTGTTTTGGAAACTATTTTGTTCCTAAACACCATTCCAAGAGAAACTTTATGCAAATTCTTTTTTTTTTTCCATCAAATTCTTTCATTCCTTCATGATGTGTATAACAATGAGTCAAAACTTTCATTAACATTGACGGATTTACTGCAACAGTTTCAAATTTAGCCTACAAAAAAAATGCTTTGCAACGTTTCTTGTTTGACATTAAGCTAATGTTTATGGTCTCCAGAAAATTGTGTTTGAAGCAAGTTAGAAACTTTACATTTCTAATTCTATTACGACTAATTTCTCTCTTCGTTTTCTTTTCAAAACCACTAAGCATTGTACATAATTTGATGGTGTGCACAACACAACATATAACTGCAATTTTAGATTGCTTAAAGGAGCTGTGTGACGAAATACCACTCAAAATGTGAAAAGAAGCTATAAATTACATAGCGAATACAAAAGAAGGCAGTCAAGATATCAGGCACTGATGGACAAACATGCAGACGATTGAAGCGGATTGGAATTATGGTTTTTGAAAACTTGCTAGCCTAACAGTTTTTCAAAGTTCACTTGTGTTGTTTGTAACGTTTGATATGGTGATTGGGAGACATATTTGTTTGACAAGAAGCTGTGATTTTCTCATTCACAAGTAATTTCTCAAGTTCAATCCAAAGCGAACAAAGACACGTGACTAGCATTATAAACAAAACGAACTGGACAGCAGCCGTGACACTGCAGCTCCTGTAAAATCTTCAGATCTTCATCTTCAATCAGATTTTAATCTGTTAATGTGACGAAGACTTTACCCTGCTAGCAGAGTCGCTTCGATCTTTCCTAGATAAGTCGGGCACGACTTATCTAGAAAGATAGAAGTGACTCTGCTAGCAGGATACGAAGACTTAGGACCGCTTCCGACAGGTGCACCCCCCCTCCCCTGCACCCCCCCCCTCCCCTGCACTTAGTCTCAGGCTGGGTATGTTGCATCCTCGGAGACCCAGGGGCAGATAGTGGGGGCGTGGGAAAGTCTAAACGGGCGGGAAAAGACGGAAAATATAGCACGAAGAAAAGTAAAGAACAGCGAGAAGAGCCCCTGGGAACAATGTCTTACCAGACCAGTTCCAAACGGTCGCCGCCGTTCTGGCTTCTGATTGGGTAGAAAAACACAAAAGTTGTCTGGCACCAATCAGAAACCAGAACGGGGGTGACCGTTTAGAACTGGTCTGGTAGGACATTGTCCCCAGGGGCTCTTCTCGCCTTTCTTTACTTTTCTTTGTGCCATATTTTTCCAACCGTTTAGACTTTCCCACGCCCCCTCTATCTGCCCCTGGGTCTCCGAGGATGGGTATGTTGGTATACAACGCAAAGAAAGTACTGAAGCACACGTACCAACTCCGCGTTATAGCCCGGCAATACCGTACGTATGCACACAACCATATCACCCGGGCAGCGGCAGCCACCACGGAGTTGGTACATGTGCTTCAGTGCTTTCTTTGCGCATGTTGGTATAATGGTTTACATTAAAAAAGCGGCCCGGAAGCTTTAGAAGGCGACATTATTTTTAGGAAGGTTTACAGTAAAGATGGTATTTTTATACAAGAAAAGTTCTTTGCGGGTAGCAATGGAAAAATTACAGGATCCTCAGTCACTTATTGATCACGAAAATCTGTAAACTTCATCTGTTTTTTTTTCCGAAATTAATTCTTTTTCAATATTTTTTATTTGAGCATCTCGAGCCACGATTTTGAATAACGCTAAAAAGCCTTGCTGCCACACTTCTTTATATGAAGTTACTCCGTCACTTGTGGTGCGGAAATTAAATGCTCTCTTGCAATCCAGTTTCACTCTCCAATAGCTTCGAGGACAAGGCTGCTCAGAGTGAGCGTGATCTAAACTGATTGTTATGTGGCTTATGATGCTGACCTTTACTAATGCAGTCATGGAGGCTAGGAGAAGTTTCATTGTTTGATATCATTATGGGGTATTCTACCAAGGAAATAATGGTTTCACCTAACTCACATACCTCCTTTGATTATTACCGGTGATTTCCCAAAGGTTCGCATCGCTCTCCACTGTCGCTTGGTTGTAGGGATCATTTTGGATGTCAAACGACAGGTACTGTCCATAGTGGTCATGCCTGGGACCACCGTAGGTGTTGACAATTGTGTAGAGATTGTGTCCATGGGGGATAAGCTTCCAGAAGCAGCCTTGGTTGCCAATGGTGATGTAGGGGTGTCCGTCCTGCACTAAATAGTAACCATGTTCTTTCGACCATTTGATTGGCAGAGGCCTTTTACCCCTAATCGAAGGGGTGATACACCATTTTCCGGCCATGGAACGATCGTAGTCTGGGCATTTCAACAGCGCAGTCAAATAGGCATCTGTGACTCTGTTGACGTCGGGATCGAAGTAATTCAGAGCCAACTTACCGACACGACCAGCTCGAAGGAATCCTAAAAGGCGTTTTTGCTGACTGCGTAAGAAGTCCTGGGCGGCTAATATAGCTTGTCGGTTGCGTTCAAGCTCCTCTGGCAATAATGTGGCAATCTCCTGCAAAATCACATCTTTTAGAACCGCCATTGTTGTGTAAAGCTCGATGTATTTCAATGTCTTTTTGACATCTTTTTTCTCGTTGGCGTTTAGAAGACGTTCTATCTCACTTGACAATGTTCCCATAAATCCGAGCCCAAGATACAATGGCACATTCCTCTCAAGTGACCCCGCTTCGTGGACGGTCAGCTTACGCCCTGACTGAGCAAGTCTATCCACATATGCCTTGGACACGTCAAACGTTTTAGCGATGCCTCGTGCCTGGTTACTAAGATCTTTCTCGTAAAATTGAGAAAATGCCTCATCTATTTCCTCTCGTACGATTTCCCCGATAGATTTCGTCTCTCCTCCTCCCGCACCAAAAAGACTGAGAAACCCGGAAACGAAGCTCAGGGCTACAGAAACAATTCCGCCAGTGGGGCCGGCAAGTGCTGCAAACTGTCCCACCATATTGATTGCACCCTGAACTGCACCAATGGGATCATCTCCTGCATTAGCAAAACTCGCAATGTTGGAGGCAGCTTCTTGTAGAGTTGCTACTACAGGTTCTCTTTCACCAAATGGGACTTGATTCCACTTTTGCTTTAACTCAGTTAGACCTTGTTTCGCGCCTGCTGCTCGTGTGCCCAATTTATCAAAGGCATTTTTTAGTTTGTTGAAAGGACCGCTTGGAACTAAATGGCAGAATTTAAATAACAATATTTGTAATAATGGTTAGGTAAAGGAACTATGAAATTTATCTTTTCAAAAATTGCAAAAGGCGTGAAGAATAGAAATACATAGCTATAAAAGGTAGCTAAATAAGTATAGACTTCACTAACGTACGAATGAAAATACTCGAAATTTAAAGGAGAAAATGACAAAACACTTTACTAACTTGTTTCGATACACTCCCCCGAGAGACCATATCGAGATTTTTCCGCCGCTTTACAATTATAAAAGCTGGTCTTCGTGCCCGATTACGATTGTTCGTGTTATGTTCATGGCTCGCCCACAACCTGGAGCGAGCAACTTCCATGTACTTGTGTCAAGGCATTTAATGAAGTTTAGTTTTCTTTTTTTCATATCATACACGTTGAAAGGGTTCATAGTGGTAGGGCGAGCTTCCATTTTCGCGGGAAAAAGTGCTTTAAAACGTTATCTAAAAGTAAACCAGTCCGTGAAAACGTCGCGACATGGCACTAATATGAGAGTTGGACGCTCCCGCGTTATTTTCTCTTGATCGTTCTCATAGCAACTTGCAAAACTAACAACACAGTGGAACCCAATGCAAATACATGCAACTTTCCCATTAATAAGCAAAAAAAAGAAGCGTTTTCCCTGTTTGCACAGCCTGATATAAACACGAGAGGGATTGGGAGAATTTGCCGAGACGGTTGTGCAAACCGAGAGGAATTCGAGGGTTTGCTGAGCGAATACCAATTATCAATTATCCAAATTTTTCACAATTATACATTACAATGTACTTCACTAAATTGACGTTTATTTCATTGATCATCGATCACTGAAGATTTGAACAAGCAACCAGGCTCTAGTCAGTTTATTGTGAACTATATCTGGATAAATTGCAATCAACTGAAACTAGGTTAAAACCAGCATTCTCTGAATCAAAACGTGACAGGCTCAGAATTAAAAAAGCCGATTAATACATTTCTATTTTGTCACGGAGGGAAGTAGTTAACGTTTAGAGTGGATAGATAATTAACGCTATCATATCCTTAGGATACCGTACTTTCATTATCTTCCAAATAGATTTCTGTGGAGTTTCTCAATGTGTGTTTATCTTCAACCAAATCGTTTTTCTTTTCTTTCAATGCAGCTTTTGCCTGAAGGGAAACAATACCATCACATGCACAAAGATTAATAATTATTAACTATTACCAGTTAATTAATAATGTCCAATTCGATCTGAAATCCTACGAGTATGATTATAGACCAAATTGGACGACACGAAGTCCTGTTACCAATTAATCATAACCTGTACAATTCCCGAGAAACCAAATGCATTCTTCTCTTGTGAAAGGCCTTTTTTAAAATATCAATTATCCAAAATCAGGGAAAATATCACTTGCAGAGATACTTTCTGTGCAAATTCTTCAATTTTGGAAAATACCCAGATTGGTAAGGTAAGTGGTTATGATGAATTCTAAGTTTGGTGGATTTATATGATTGGCTGATGTACTGTCTGCTTACAGCCATGCCCGATTACACTGTCCAATTACACCTTTACACAATAATAAGTGGAAAAAAAAGCAGTTACTGCAACAATTAAATTTGAGGAAATCCTAATTGTTATGATTAATAGTTTAATCATATAGGGATGGGCTTTGAAGCCTGGTCAAGCCTTTAGATGTCTCTTAGATTGGGTCCGATGAAGACGGATGCCCATAGCGCTCCACCCACCCTCCGTGCTCCTTTGCCCATAAGACCGCCGCGCCGGTGGTGAAAAAAAAAAAAGATCTGAAAAGGCGGTCAGATGCGAGTTTCACGGCTGGAATCCAGTTAATTTTTCCTCGATCAAGTCCCTTTGGGTTTCGTAAAGTATATTTCAGGTTACCGCTTACTGGAAGTGACCCCGTTTGGGGTGGTGATTGGAAGTGGAGGTCCGAATCTAAGTGATATATTCTTACCTTTTTTAAAAGTTTTTCCATCCAGCCATGTTGACCTTCGCTTTTTAGGGTTTCGATTCCACCATTTCCTCCAGTTTCCGGCTTATCATTATTATCTTCTTCAGTGTCTGGCTTTTCATTTTCCTTTCTCTTAGGAGGTTCTATCTGTGAATAGTCGATTATTGATTTCATTACTTAACAAGAAGGCTGCTCTTCCTCCCCTTCCCCCTCTATGTGAGCGGACACTTGGGGAATGAATTAATTGCATCGAGGTCGTCTACAATTATCGTGACATATTATAGTCTTGTCTTTGTCTTTGGATTGTTCCTGGATATCTGACATCAGGTTATACTTGTCAAAGAGTCTTTACCAACTAAGCTGGTTCATTTCAAAATCGATTTTGACACTTGAATTCACGGGTCCCGCTTTACGTAACTTTGAGTGACTCGCGCAGGGAGACCTTAGCCTACATTACCCAATGTAGGACCGTGCCCCGCCCGCCGCCCGATTCCCCGCAGACATTTCTTTACAGCATTAACTGCATTAGCCTGCAAAGCAGGCGCTTGAAAGTTATACGGCGAGAAAGCATGGAGCAAGCGACAGTAATACGCGAGGGGAGATAAAGTGTCTTAGTTTATTGTTCAAAAGATAAAATTACATATCTTATGTTACATTTAAATATAACAATGTTAATGGGCAAAAGTATGTCTCTAAATAAGATTAGTATATACATAGAAACAAATACAAAAATTGAATACAGAAAGTACACTATTTACAAAGCTATATTATACTTAAAGACAATTCTATTAAAGAATGTATTCTTAAAACGGTCCGTGTGAATGGCGGGCGTTGTAATCTTAGTCTCAGGGAAGTTAGCTCTAAGAGGGTGGTTCGGGATACCAGAAACCTTCCTACAAATTCTATGATCTTGCACTTTAAGTAATTCACCTGTCTCTAATTTCTTGGATATGTATCTGCTTTTAAATCATCGATCTAAAAACTACTGGGCCATAGTTAGCTCTGATTCAGAGGCCCCGGCAGATAAAGCATAAGTAATATTAGGTAGAACTATGGAAGAGAATGAATGGTCTACTTCTGCTTGGCTACATCTTTCTTTTCCGAGGCATCTGATGACATACGAGCATTTATTAGCTTTACATAACGCAGTTAGACTGAAATGTGAGACCTTGAATGGTTACTGTACTAGTCTGTGGTATGCCTAAAATACTATTGCAGGCCTCCGCAGTGTGTCGTTTTTTATACATAATAATGAGCTCTTTACATTTTGTAGAATTCGAATTCATTCTATTTTGGCCTGCCCACCGTACAAACTGATTTATTAAGTCTGCAGAGTGATCTATACCATCATATACCGGAGTAATAATCGTACGGACATCAGCATATTTAAAACCAAGTGTCTCGTTCCCTAATTTAATCTCCAGATCGTTAAGAAATATATTAAACAAATAAGGTCCTGAAACACTACCCTGGGTTGTGCCTTTGTTTACTGTTTTCCAATTACAAACGAAACTGCCGAAAATAACTCTTTGCTTTCTATCTCGCAAAAAACCTAACCACCAATTTATAATATACGGGTTAAGTGGTAGAATCTCCCCCCTCACGCGCCCTGTTCTTTCTTGCAGCAGGCTAGTGGTCTCCAAGGTCTTATACTTACGGGTTGTATCCTTCCCAAGATGCACTGCAAGTCCCAACATTGTTGGAAGTTGTTGCGCCCGTTTGCACGTGGCTTTATATTTATAAAGAGCGCTGAGATTGTAGCTGTGCTATGGAAAAATTTCGCTCTTATGGTCCTTAAGCTTCCTTATTATTTCTATTATTATTATTCATTTAACTGGAAACTAACTTAAAATAATAACCACGCTTTGTAATAAGGCTGAAGTTTTTAAAAGTTATTTCTCTCTATTGAAGCTTATAACGTAACTTAAAGTAATGATCACCTTTATTTTAATTTTGATCGGTTTGGTGGAGTTTCCGCCTTCATAATCATCCCGGAACCGCTCCATATTAGCGTCATTGCTGGTGCTACCAGATTTTAATGCCTTAGTATTAAAAGTAAAAATAAGAAAACGAGATAAACCACAATTTCAAAATGATTTATATTAACCAATTAAACAGCTAAAGTAGAGAAAGAGAAAACTGATTTAAGCGTCACTAAAGTGAGTGCAACGAGCGTTTCAGCGAAGGTAAATCGTTTAGAATGTTTGTGCAAAATCAAAACAAGAGAGCCTGACAACTTTCTCAACGAACTTTTCTAGCCCGCAACTGACGCTTATAACAATATATGCAGATACAAAAGTATGCCTTTGTCTTGTTTTACTCTGAAAGACAGGTTGAGTAGAGTTGTGTAATTAATTATGTCGGTTGTTTTGTAATAATCTGTGGAGCCAGGGACCATTGATAATAAATATACTGATTGGGACTTAGATGCTCTTGGCTCCCAATTTACAGCCCTCGCTTGCTTGTATGCCGGGTATACTTCACTATTCTTATGAAACCTGACAATAACATGGTATGTGGCTACTGTTTAGTAGTCTCATCTAGCTCAGCGCCACTTACCATGTCTTCACTGTTTTCCTTCGCAGCACTTGCCAGAAATTTTGGCTTTCTTGAGCTTTTTCCTGGGAATTAACCATGAAGCGTTAATCAAAATAGAAAGGAAAAATAAAAATAGAAACTGAAACAACAAAAAAACAAAACCAGTAGCGCAAACCTTCACTTACTGTCTTGGTTATCTTAAGAAACTAGTGACAACAAACCTTGGCATTCGATGATTGAAGCCAGAAGAAATGGCAGCAAAACCAATGCAATCTTCATTGCTTTTTGAGGTCACTAAAAAGGAAAGATTAGGTTAGAATTAGTTTTAACACTTACTTAACTTAACCAGTCTCTCTAAAGGACTAAAAATTCTCGCGAATCTGCTGAGGAGGATGGCTGTGGATGAAAGTTTTTTCAATGAATTTTTTCTTTCAATTATAATGATCCCTTTGTTCCAGAACCTCTATATTTCTTTCTAGTCTCCCTCTTCTTCTCTCTCTCTCTCTTAGTTCATACATAGTCTCAATCTTTTCTGCTTACACGGATTTGTAGGGGCTGAAGTGTATTCTTCGCTGGTGTTAAAAAAAAAGAAAACTCATCATACTTCATTGCCGCTTTTATTGTCAGCATCCGCATGCAGATCCGTTGACCGACTTCAACTAACAGCTGAACTTGTGCGAGTGTTGCGATCCAGAAGAGAATCTGATTGTTATTGCGGCGAGGAAGTCTTACAACGGATATTCACAGTGTATATCAGGTAAAATTGTATTAATTTTTTTTTTCTGTTATTGCAAAGATATACCTTTCTTTTTTATACTTTATCATTATATCCATTTTTTTTCTGTCTCTCGTGTGTCAGTATTTCATTCTGCTTTGTCATGAAGACTTTTTTCGCGACTTTTTTTTGGTAGCCGGTACTCTGTATTGTGTACTTATTTGAAAATAAATGATACAATTTATTCTACATTAAGGTTAACAAAGCTTATTACCCGTCATCTAAACTTATACTGCGCTAATGATCACCGCGGGTGTCTGTAAATGGACGAAAAATGACTGAAAAAATCCTGAAATTAATTAACCCTAACCCTAACAAACAGCAGAACTAAACGATCAAAAGGCGAATCTGGAATCTCGGATCAGACATGGTCTCAACCTATGAACAGCAAAACCGCCGAAAAAAAGAGCAGATAAAAGAATTCCCGCGAAAATGCCAAAAAACAAGTTTGCCAAGAAACAAAACTGGACGGTCACAAAGACAGAAAGAGAAAACTGAAACAATAGCCAAAATAACGGAAATTAGCCAAAGATTGATCTCAAATTATTACTTTCGTGATTTAATTAATCATCTTGTTTGACCAGATACAAAACATTTAACAATATAAAGGTTCTTTCTAAAGTGCTGTGGATAATGAATTTATACTGTTTACTTTAAGACAAATGGTATCTAATTTTCCAGAAATGTAAAGATTAACAGATAGAAAAGGATCTTTGATCATAACACCAGGAAATCTGCCAAAAAAAGCTATGACATTAAACTCACCCTCACAACTCCTGAGCGATAATAAGTTCTGAGGTTCTTTTGACCTTGAGTGTTTTCCCAGAGCTACTATAGGTTAAGTCAGCTAGTTCACAGAATGAAGCTGAGTTATAAACTGTCAAAAACACAGATTTTAAAAATTTGATGATTTGAAGTGGAAACAGTGCTAAGGAACAAACGACAACCTGTGTAATAAAACAGAGAAAAATCCCTTTATTTTAAGAGAACTGCATTCCTGTTCTTTTTGTTGGGTGATGTAAGTTCTAACGGACCGGAACATATCTCGGTCAACTGAGAAAAAATTTTCCGATCTGAGTCACCGTGATCGTTAACTATTTATATTAAACCACAAAAAACAAAAAAAAAAAAAAAAATAACAACAACCAAAAAAACAAACAAACCTATAGGTTGGTTGCATAGAATCAGTTTTCACGCTGCGAGAAAAAAACTATTGTTTTTAGTCAAAATTAGAGGGTCACTTTCAGACCTTTTTAAGAGTACTAATAAGCTAATAACGTAAATCATAAAACTACATGTTTGTCTGCTTCTCAGTCACTACCACAGATAGAAAAAAAATCGTGATTTAAAAATAGTTTTACTGAGCGAAAACACAAAAACGCAGATTTACTTTAAAATTTTAATGACTTGCACTGCAGCGAAATCAAAGTGTTTCGGGGACAAAAATTTACCTGCACAACAGCAGCCGAATATTTTAATATATCTGTGTTTCTTTTTATTTGGTCGTGGATGCTGTTAACCGACCGGAAAATTATCTCTGTTGGCTGAAAATCATTTTCCAACTCAGAACTGATCTGAGTCACCGCAATCAATTATCTGTTGATATCAACTTAAAAAATATATAACAGAACTGGAAAACCCTCTGTTGCGCTAAATTATATAATTTTCACAGTGTGGTAAACAACTGTTTTAGACAATATTAGAGAAGCGAAATTGGAGGGCCGAAATTAGCTTCAAGACCCTATAAGAGTAATCAGCTAATAACTTAAATGGTAAAACTTCATATCTACAACTCTGTCACTAACTGGCATGCTTAGACATAAAAAAAAGTCTTCTTTAAAAAGTAGATTTAAAAAATTTA